GAGAGAGAGAGAGAGAGAGAGAGAGAGAGAGAGAGAGAGAGAGAGAGAGAGAATTGGGAGGAAAAGCGGTAGTGTTTTATTTTTACGTGCATTTAAGATCGACATAAAATAAGTGGTCCAACAAAACACTTGGAGGTGGCGTACGGTTCAGCCAATTATAAACTTATTTATTTTGTTCCCGTAATAAACGTATGGCTAATTTAGTGGCAGTAAAAAAAGTGCACACATAATGGTTGAGTGGTTTGGCATCCCATCGATTGGGCGCCCGATTAGACGTGAAAACGTATAGCAGAGGAGAATTTGATTTCTATTTTTAATACTTTAATTTAATGGCAAAAAACACACCAATAGATTGATTGACCCCCAGTTCTGTCACTGAAAAATTGAGTGCTTTAACCGCAATCTCATGTAGAAAATGACAATATAGTCATAAAAAGCACAGGCATTTCATAAACTCCCTGTTCCTCTCCCTAAACACAATAACTGTAGAAAACAGTTGTCTTTCTATTCCTGAAACAACAAATCTTATAATTTATTACTCTTTTGAGTATACGATTAGTGCCGACACAAGAAAAACATAACTCGATGTTTCGCACAATGGTTTAGTGCTGTGTTTTTGGACACCGTTTCTGATGTTTGGCGTAAAGAAAATATTTCAATTCATTTGCCATTTAGTGATAATTAGCTATAAATGCTTTGAAGAGAGTGTTAAAGAAGTTGTTCTACATTTTGTTCATTAAGTTTCTTATATGTTTGTAAATAACAGTTAGAGTTAAACACTTTTGTATAATTTTGGTTTACTATTTATGATATTGTGTGAACGTTGAATTAATGTTATATTTGATGAAGATAATAATTATGCTATTCAATACTGTGTTCATCTATAAGTTTCAATAAGTTTTAATATTCATTAATTATCTCAAATGGTGTCCGTAAAGTAGACCATTAATTTTTATAATTATGATTTAACTAATCTATCACTTATTAAAAGTTATTATTTAAAGTTTTTTGAATTTTTAGAGCTGACATTATTAATATTATTATAATTATAATTTTGATAATTAAATTCTATAAAGACTAATTAAATAAATTGAATTTTTATTAATTTGTGTTCACAAGAAGTTGCAAAATGAGTTTAAAATTTAATTCAGTAAAAAATGAAATGTATTCATCGGATGAACAAAAGACATATAACTTAAAGATTGTTTGGAGAAATGTATTTCTCATGTGTTTCCTACATATCAGCGCTCTTTATGGCGTTTGGATCACTTTAATGACAGCTAAATGGCAGACAATATACGCCATGTATTTCTTCGGCATAGTGTCAGCGATGGGTGTATTGGCCGGCGCTCATAGGCTATGGTGTCATCGCTCGTACAAAGCAAAGTGGCCTTTAAGGCTAATTCTGGCCATTTTTGAGACAATGGCTCTACAAAACGATATCTACGAGTGGTGTCGCGACCATAGGGTTCACCACAAGTACAGCGAAACGGACGCCGACCCACACAACTCCAACAGAGGCTTCTTCTTCGCACACATGGGTTGGCTATTGTGTCGAAAACATCCCGAAGTGATCGCCAAAGGGTCCACCATTGATATGAGTGACGTCTGGGACGACCCTATAGTGCGCTATCAGCGCAAGTTTTACATACCCCTAGTCATCATCATATGGGCTGCCATTCCTTCTTACATACCATTCCTCTTGTGGAACGAATCCGTGTGGAACTCCTTCTTCACGTGTGTTACACTTCGCTATACATTTGTATTACACAACGCATGGCTCGTCAATTCGGCCGCTCATCTGTACGGCAGCCGACCCTACAATCAATATATACAGCCGCGTGAGAACCGAGCCGTACAGTACTTAGCACACGGAGAAGGTCTGCATATTCTCTCTGCTTTTGAATTTGAGTTGTGATTAATGACATAAATGATGATAATGTTTAGGTTACCACAACTATCACCACACATTTCCATGGGTTTGTTGTGATTCAATGCGTTGCCGACACATGTAATACTAATTTACTAATACAATCATGTTTTGTGTCTCTAAACGGCAGGACTACTCGGCCTCAGAGTTGGGATGGAAAGACAATTTCAATTCGGCCACACTTTTCATTGACTTTTTCTCGTTAATCGGTTGGGCTTACGATCGCAAGAAAGTGCCCCAAAATGTTGTCAACCAAAGACAGGAGCGGACGGGCGAGAAGAATGTCCACAGAATGAGTCCACTGATGGACTACTCGTACGGCTTTGTCATCACATTGGTTCCCATTTGGCTCGCATTCTTGGGCCGACTTATCGTCACTCCTCTTATATTATACGCATTTTACTCATAATTTTAGATATGATATATTTTTCAATGAATTTGTAATGTTTTTTAGCAAAACAATTATAATAAGTGTTTAATAAATTTATTACAAAATTAATTTTTATACAGCATTTCATGTGTTAACTGCCGTTTTTTTGGGACACAGTTTTCATAATAATGTTCACAGAATCGGTTATAATGTGACGGATATAACAAGCCAAACATGGTATTATAATATTTTTAATTACGGTAAACTACCGGTTAGTTAGTGAACCTAATCAGAAACTAATTTAATTATCATCAAAATACATATTATATAATGAGCAATACAATAATGTATAATAGAGTTAATAAATGTATATTAAAATTTAGTGTAAAATAAATTGCCTTATTTTTTGTACAACAAATCGTAAACATTAATTACTATTAATAAATATTATTAAAATAAGTATATAATTAGAAATTCATATACTTTTGGTTTTAGTTAACATATTCTTAAACACTAAATACTGTATTATAAGTAATCTATAGATAATTAACACATAAAATGTTAATAAAATGTTAGAATAATTGTATTAAATGACAATTTTATGAGGAATTAATCGATAAATACTCTAACAGTTTAATAACATTTGTTGCAAATTCTTGTTTATTTCCCTCAAACCTAAGGTCGGGAAACGATTTGTTTTCGTGTGATATAACACTGTCTGTACTGAACGTCATTTTAAGATAATAATAGACTGAATTGGGATCTAATTTAGACATTTCGGTTTGTACCATAATATTATAAAAATTAATGCCATTTGATGGCCAATCAATCACTTGGATTAGTCTTTGATTAAATTAATAGTAGTTTTATGTATAATATATTACTCGTTATGTTATTACATATTATGAGTTAATAAATGTATATTAAAATTTAGTGTAAAATAAATTGCCTTATTTTTTTGTACAACAAATCGTAAATATTAATTACTATTAATAAATATTATTAAAATAAGTATATAATCATAAATTCATATACTTTTGGGTTTAGTTAACATATTCTTAAACACTAAATACTGTATTATAAGTAATCTATAGATAATTAACACATAAAATGTTCATAAAATGTTAGAATAATTGTATTAAATGACAATTTTATGAGGAATTAATGGATAAATACTCTAACAGTTTAATAACATTTGCTGAAAATTCTTGTTTATTTCCCTCAAACCTAAGGTCGGGAAACGATTTGTTTTCGTGTGATATAACACTGTCTGTACTGAACGTCATTTTAAGATAATAATAGACTGAATTGGGATCTAATTTAGACATTTGTGTCAACGCAGCGATCGCTGACTCTTGCAATGGTAAGGGTTGGTGTGAGTGAAGGTATGGCATTGTGTCCACAATCAATGGCCACAAGTCTTTGTCACTTAAGCCGAGATTCACGGCAATAGAGCCAATGCCGCAAAGAATATCGTTCTGAAACTGATAGGCAATTGTAAACCGATAGGCAGAGCCCTTGTCTTTCCCGGAGCTCACGAGTGACTGCGATCTCAAGAACAATAAAATTCTTGGAATCACTTCCTTCAGAGTTCGCGCGCGTATGAAATCACCGCATATTTCGGACATCACTCGCAGACAAGCAAACGATCGTTTGGTCACAATCACGTCCTTATCGGTGAACCTCTCGACAAGTGGTGACCACAACTTGTGGGCCATCGGAAGCAAATGGTCTAAACATTAAACGAAATTTCAATTAAATGCCAATAAATAAAATAAACCCAAATTCAAAACATACCTTCAAATGGCTTTAAAATCCTAAGACAGTCGACAATAATGTCTAACACAATAAGTCTGACTTTTGGGTCAGGATTTGAGATAATATGTACACAACGTTCGCATATCTTTTCAACTAATGGTACATAAAATGGCACTTTTGTCTTCTCGTCAGCGCTGGTGTCGTCCTCTCTATAATCACATTCCTCTTCGTTATCACTAATCACTTCGTTTTCATTCTCCAAATTCTCCGAAATATTCTTATTTCTGACAAATTCTTCGAAAAGTTGTATAAAATTTTGAGCACTTCTTTCCGGCGAAGTTCTTTGATTGGATTCAATCACGTGTTTATCAAAACATTCAACATTTGGTACAAAATAATGATTTAATGTATTAACAAATGAGTGCAAGACTCGCATCAGAGGTAATGATTGACTTCTGTGGTAACAGTCGATAACAACGATAATCTCATCGATAATATCAGTGAACAGATGAAGCGTGTCTTGAGTGGAGAATTTGAGCATTACTTTGATTACAATCGGAACCCTTTGGTTGTCGACAAAGTGTTTCAAATGAATACAAATACAATTAACCAAATAATCAATGTTTTTGACCACAAGTCTCGATATAGATTCGTAGCCAAAATGCTGTGAGACTAATGTCAGCGCTCTGTGGGATGTCTGGTATATACAGAGATTGGATGCGCCGACACTCTCGAGGAGCGGGAAAATACATTTCAAGAGATAATTATGAGACGAATCCGAATCGTATAAATGGAGAAAACATGTGAGACCTTCAATGAGAAGACACTGTCGAAGAATATCTTTGTTCATATTCTCGACGCTCTTGTCTTCGAGAGTTGTGGTAATGTTTGTCACGTATTGTTCCAAAAGCTCTTCAATATCTGCATAATTGGCGCTAACGCTGGAGAGGATCTGATTTGTGACAAATATTACGCTCGAATTCATATTCGATTGTCTCAACACATCCACCAAATAGTCGGTCAACACTTGAGACTCGACTCTTTGGCCAATCAATTGACAGCATTTGGTTAAAGCGATCACCGATTTCTCGTCGCAAAGGTATGTAAAGTCTTTTCTGATCCATTTGTGAGGCAATTGTTCATCACTTAAGTGAATGGCTTTATCTGAATACGTGATGAGCTCCAGGAGTCGGATCCCAATGTAATCGAATTGACAAATATCTATAAAACACTCAAAGAGTTTGTGTTTGTGTTGCGGAGAGTATAGCATATAATTGATGCCATTTGTGTCCAAACACTTGATATAACCGTATAATAAATAAATTGCAGTAATTCTCTCCCTTTCACTGCATGTCCTTATAATACGCGGTAAACTAGTTATGTATGAATAGATCTGATCTTCAATTAAGTCCAGATAAGACTTCGAGGAATCACTACTCGCAGAGGTTTTGGACAGTTTTGTCAAAAACACATCCGATTCATGACTTATTTGCTCGAAATCGTCGCTCAAATAAGTCAACGAAACCCTTATTAGCGATGAAAGACATCTGTTTATGAATAGCGGACAACAATTGGTCAGTATATGAGTGACAAATGTCTGCAACGATTGTCTAACATTCCAGTTCTGGTGCGATATTAAGATCGAAATGATTTTATCGAAAACAATATTCAATTTATCGCAAGTGTTTTCCAACCATTTCTTATCTCGAATCACGTGAAATCCATTCCTTTCGCATTCCTCCGGAGCGTTAGCCACTTGCATGTCATCTATTTTCTTGTACTCTATATCAGTATCGCATGAAATAGATTTGAAGACAAATACCACAGTATTAGACAATAGAGTGAGCGATGAGTTTATAACTTTTCGGTTCAGTTTGTCATCACTTGATATCAATTGCGAAATATTAATGGAAATTCCCGGCAAGAAGTACGCGATCAGGTCCTGCGGACATGTCTTCAGTGTGTCCTGATTTAGACTTAACTGGCATTTACTGATTAGACAATCGATGGTCTCAATGGCTTCCGATTTAATTAAATGGTATTTTTGTTTGTTTGCGGAACTAAGAAGAATGTGAATCGCGTGACCGAACTGAGGGCTAAACGCGGGACTAACCACTTGTCCTAATATACAGTCATCACAGTTTTGGATCAATATCTTCGCGCACTTAATCACACTTAATATGAGGTCTTCACTCGCTTTGAAAGTAAACTCTGTGTCTAATAAAACAAAAACAAAGACAATCAATGAATAAGTTATAGACTTTGTGGTCATATCAATGGCTAACCAATAGTGTATGAGTTGTCGTCAATTAAATGCAATAAATTGGACAAAATGTCGGCAAAGATGTCAAAGCGATTGATCTGTGATTTCTGAAGAATCAGCGAAAGACATTCAACACTGGATTCAATGGTTTTCTCGCAACTAAAATACAAAGAGAGAGAAAGAGTGAGTCCAACAAGTGATACAAATGACAAGAGAGAGGATATACTTGTTTTGCTTCTTCGGCAGATTCGAGATAATGAGTCTTAAGGGGAATATCGAGTACTGGTATAACGAGTTGATGAAGTGTTTGTCACATTTGGTCACGAATTGTCTTAAGGCGGCGATGGACTCGTCGTTGGGTTGGTTCACACAATTCACGGTCCGCTGTTTGAGCTCTGAGAACAGCTCTTTGCTGATCGTCGACATCATTGGTCAACACTTCCAACACATCCCACAACTCATCCAATGGTGGCTGTAATGAGTGGCCGACTGTTCGCGCATTCAATGCATTCGCTATTCATTTCCATTCAATCAATCGTTGGATTGTTTTTCTTCTCCAAAACTCATGCAAATCAACAAATCATTCATTTATTTATGCAAAACATTCATTAATAACGTGCCGTCAAATTGGGCTCACTTTGTGTCCCCCTTTCAGTATAAACTTGGTATGCATTGAGAGTTAGGCTGACTTCCCACACATGGGGTCGCTTCCAGACATGCCTTCCGCCCATATATTCGATGCCGTAATGTATGGACAGAATGTGAGGACAACCCATGAAAACAGAGCTCACATTATGAATGGTTTAGTGTTTCACTCAAAATGTTTTGTCTATTCATTTGAAATACATTTTTGGCGAAACAATA